TCCCTTGCTCCTCACAGCCCTTTCTTCTCTTTCACCCATTTCCAGCCTTCCTTTCTTCCCACCACGTTCTCCTCTTTCTTTTCCCATTTCCTCTCACCCTCCCCCCCCCCGTTCTACCCTTTCTCCATATTCTCCCACTCGTATTCCCAGGCCTCAGTCCTATCCTCCCACATTTCCAATCACATTCTCTTCCCACCACTTTTCCTATCCCAGGCCCCGGTAAAAGGTGCTAAAAAACCCTGGGGGGGGGGGGGCTGTTTGCCCCGGAGCAAAATAAAGCGCAGTAACCCGATCACACGGTCCCTCGAGTCTCCGTGCTTCGGATGTTAGCTGGCGATCACACAGCGATGCTGCAGTGTGGCAAAGAAGCAGTGCGGCGCAGCACTGCTTTCAGTTTCGTGTTTGTGCGCATGCACTTAGGAAAAACATCCAGTTTGCGACAGGACATGGACGGGCGCCAGATGTCACGAGATACTAGCGCTCCCGCGATCAGACGCCCGCCTGTGCTGTGTGTTTTCCGGATACTAGTGCACTTTCCTTGGTATTTTTTAACTCTGCATCTTTGACGGGATGCCACGGGTTGGCCACGGGTGCGCTACGCTTCCCAGATGTTGCGGTGTGATCGCGCCCCGAAAATCTGCCCGACATTCGTTCCTTTTGCGCGGCAAATTCTCCGTGTGACCAGGGCCCCACCTCATTTTTCACAGTCTCCTACCAGATTTTCTCCACTTTCTCTCCCACCCCATTTGTCAGTTTATCATCTGAGCTTTGTCATCTTTTCCCATTTCCCACTTTTCTCCTTAGCCCATTCTCCACTATAGGAGAAGAAGAGGAGGAGGAGGAGGAAGAGGAGATTGGCTTTATACCCCACCCTTCACACAGGATCTCAAAGTGGCTTACAGTCTCCTTTCTGTTCCCCTACCCTACCCCTGTGAAGTAGGTGGGGCTGAGAGAGCTCTTTCGAGGACTGCTCGTGAGAGAACAGCTCTGAGAGAACTTGTGACTGACCCAAGGTCACACCGGCAGCTGCATGTGGAGGAGTGGGGAATCAAACCCGGTTCTCCCAGATTAGAGTATGCTGCTCTTAACTACTACACCAAACTGGCTCTCAGTTTTTCCTGTTTCCCGCCCTGTCTCTCTTTTCTCACTTTGCCTCTCCGCCAATTTCGGATTTTCTCTTCCTAGCCCTTTTTTCTCCCCCTCCCTCCTTTTTTACTCTCTGTCTCTTTCCTGTGATTTCTATAAATTCTCTATCCCTCCTCCAGTTTTCCACCCTCTCTCTCTCTTCTTGGACCTTTCTCCTTTTCTTCTGCGTTCCACTCTGTCTCTCTTCCAGCCTAATTCTCCACTTTCCTTCCAGCTATTTCCTACTCACCTTCTCCCTATATATCTTCCCACACCCATCCTCGATTTCTTCTCCCTCGTGACAGACACAGCCAAGTCCACCCCCCTTTTCAGTATCAACCACCCCCTCCCTTTTTATTCTATTGATCTGGAGTCAAAGCCAGAAATGATCGATCAGGACCCTTGGAACACTGGGAGGGTGAAGGAGAGTGAGGAGCAGAGATTGAAAGAGCCATTTAACAGAGAGTTTTGTGTTAGAGGGGGTTGAGAGGACCCTCACACAGGTTAGGGGTCTCGCTGTGTCCCCAGTCCCTTGTGGAGAAAGTGGGCAGTTTAGTGTGGTGGACTGGAGTGGCACCCACTGGTTTCTGGATCTCACGAGTAGTCTTTCTGTGTGATTGGGAAGTTGCAGGGCATGCTGAGGTCTGTGTTTTAAAAAGGTGCTAGTGGTTATCTGGTAACCTGAGAGGAATGAGAGAGTAACCTGAGAGGAATGTTCAAGTTCTTAATGAGTTGGGTCTGGGTTCTCTCAGAAAAACCCCCATGGCCTTCAGCCTGAACAGAATGAGGTGAAAAGGAGAGGTGGAGCTAAACTGAGCAGAGGGTGTACTCCTTAAGACTGTATTTCCTTTCTTTGGCTTGCTGCTAATTCCCCCATGGTTAGGTGTAGGGGGAGCCAGTGGGTTAGACACACTATTCTTTTCTCTCCTTCACCCCCCCCCCCCCCCATTAACCAATCTAGGCCCTGTCATTTCTGGGGAGAAAGTGTCCTTACACATGTTACGTTTAATGGCATTCAGAAACATTGGGAGGAATTGAGCTAGATTCAAATCCAGTAGAACCTTTCAGACTAACAAGATTTTCGGGGTGTGACCTTTCGGGAGTCAGAGCTTCCTATCTGACAACAGGAGCTTTGACACTTGAAAGCTTTTTCTCCAGGAAACTTGTTGGTCTCTATAACTGTTCTACTGCAGACCAACACAGAAACTATCTTCTTGGAGGAATCGGGCTGTGAAGGACAGCAGACCATGAGACTAGGGAACAGGAGCAAAAACTTTGGGCCTTCTTTGGACTAGGATACTAATGGAGAATCCACTAGTTTGTGGTAATCTGTGATTTATCCTGCTCAGGGGGATCCCCAGCCTTACTGCTGTGGAACCACAGATGATACCCAGCGATTCGAAAGCAACTTAATTGCAAGTAGATAAATGGGTACCCACCCTTAGTAGGGTGGGGGGCACCCCTGCCTAGTGTGGTGGCTGAAGACGGCTGAAGATGACGGCAGCGGCAACGGCGAAGTGAGGCGAGGCGTCGGTTCCTGTGTGGATGACATATGCGGCGGCGGCGGTGTGCGGGCGCAATCCAGGAGGAGCGATCCCTGGCGACCGAGAGAGGAAAAACATCAAGTGGCCACCGCCAAAAGGAAACGGGCGCACAACGGCGTCAGACGCTAAGCCCAGCGGAGCCGGAAAGGACATAGCTGAGGCGAGAAGAAGGCGGAGTCGCGTGCCTTGAGAGAGTTCCGCCAAGCGCCGGGAAGAGCAACCCACCAGGAAGAAACCCCCGCCAGGAAGAGCAGCCCGAGCACCAGAAAGAACAATTCGCCAGAGCAGACCAACAAAGGAACAACACCAGCCACCACCATAGGGGTGCCGGTAGGTTACCCCACCCCACAACACATGTGCCCCTAGTTAGAAGACAATAAAATGGTGACTAGCACCGACGTGTAAGCCACTCAGAGACCCCTAGACAAGGGATTCGAGCGGGATATAAAGTTGAACGAATAAATAAATAAATAAATAAAGATGCCACAGACCAGCAACAGAGAATCGCAGGTGATATGAGATCTAAGGGTGTGCATTTGGCATAAACTGAGCCACAAAAATACCTGAAAAATTGGTATTTTTCATGTATTATATAAACTGAAATCAGATCAGAAAATCTGGTCGGCTACCAGTAAAGCTGAATTTTTTTTTGGCTTTTATTCGGGTATATTCAACTATACCAAATGGCTGGTGGGCTCGTCTTGCAGCAGAAGCCTCCCAGCCAGGTCTGCTGCATGCAGCGGTGAGAGACCTCCCTGCCATATGTAGATTGGTATGCAAACCTTATTCTAAAACGTTTGGTAGGGGTTAATTGAGTCTCAGTGTTCAACAGAGAGCCAAAGTCAATCACTTCCTCCAGACTTTAAGGGCTTAAATGGTTTGTAAAAGAAACTTTATTTCAGAAGTATGACACTTGTGTTTATATTGGGTGACACTCAAAAAGTGCAGTATAAATGCAACATGCAATACCTACGATGGTATTTTCTCTCCTATGAAACTGGTTGTCATATATGTTTCTGTGATGACCCCGTGTCTCTTCAACTACCCTCTCCTTCTTGTCACACACACTAATCCCACGGTGCTTCGTTTCTGACACATATTGGCACAACACTATTTTTTAAAAATCAACTTATAAGACAGATGCACCATGGAGCTAGTTCTCCTCCTTTCCTTTCTTAAAAAAAGTAGAAGAACAAGGGGGGAAACCCTGAAATCCAACAATGAAGTTTAAAAAAAAAAAAACAGGAAACAAAAAAGATACATAAAGACAAGACAAAATTATAACAACGGTGTTGGCAGATCTACACAAACTGTTCTATGAACAATTTCCAAATACCTAAAAATAAGTCTGTACGCAATTGCCATCTATATGTCATGTGTTCAAATCCTGATAGAGTTCTAAGGTCCTCAATCCATTGACTGACCGGAGGTGGGCTTTTGTCTTTCCAGTGCTGTAATATGAGTCTTTTAACTGTAGTAAGGGCACTGACTGTCTGTTTCCATCGACCATCAGTTAGCCTCCAAGAGACAAGTTGATAGTTTCAAAGTGCATAAGAATCCTCAGAAATCAATGAGTGTCTAATTGCTGGCATTAAAACTTATAGGACAAGTCCCTTAGAAATATGCTTCAGGCGTGTCCACTCATTTGCTTTTTCTGGAAAGAAGTTATTATTCATATCAATCTTGTATTAGAATGTTCACATAGAACTAGACTGTGACATGAAAGAATTTCAAAGCCAATACAAATCCAGAAAATCACAAAAATCAAGTACTACACATGTCTGCTTCTTGTGTATTTGTCCCAAACCAGAGATTTACATATTCCACTCCCACTGCAGGGGCTACCTCAGTTCAAAATCTAGAAATTCTCAACCACTGGATTTTATTGAATGCAAAATGCCACCTCATGGTAGGGAATCCTTTATTAGTTTACAGCCTTAGAGCCACTCTTTAGGCAAAGTCTACAAGCACAGGATTTAGAGATCGAATTATTGGTAGCTGCGGATTAGCATTTTGGGATCAGAGACATTGCCAGAGTACAGAGGACACCAGAATTCAGGTCTGTAGATTTATATATCCTGAAATGCAGATAGAAGAGGAGGAGGAGGAGGAGATTGGTTTTATAACTCGCCCTTCACTACCCAAAGGAGTCTCAGAGTGGCTTACAAACTCCTTTCCCTTCCCCTCCCCACAACAGACACCCTGTGAGGTAGGTGGGGCTGAGAGAGCTCTGACACAAGCTGCTGTTTTTCAAGAACAGCTCTGACAGAGCTATGGCTTGCCCAAGGTCATCCAGCAGGTGCAAGTGGAGGAGTGGGGAATCAAACCCGGTTCTCCCAGATTAGAGTCTGCGGACTTAACCACTACACCAAACTGGCTGTCTCTCAGCGGACACCAGAATTCAGGTCCGTAGATTGATATACCCTGAAAGGCAGATAATCTTCATGTGGAAATAAGACCCTGCCACGAACTTTCCATGCCACTAACTTAGGATAAGCCCTGACTTATATAGCCCAGGCTAATGAGATCTCATCAGATCTCAGAAGCTAAGCAAGATCAGCCCTGGTTAGGACTTGGATGGGAAACCACCAAGGAACTCCAGGATCACAATGGAAAGGTAGGCGATGTCAAAGCACCTCTGAACTTCTCGTGCCTTGAAAACCTTAGAACGGATCGCTGTAAGTCAGCTGTGACTCGATAGCAAAAACCAACCAAATAAAGGTTATCGGCATTGCAGCATTAGCACTAAAATGTCAGCTCGCCCCGGAAAGTCGCTTACAAGGGGAACGTAATGTGGATGCAAATTGCAAAACAAATGATACTCAACAGTTCCCAAGGGGACACGTCTAGAACGTTTTTATTATCTCCATTCCAAGAGAAGACAGATGACTTATGTCCTTTCAGTGACAATCTCCTCGTCCGTCAGCTTCGCCGGCTGCTTCTTTCGTTTCGGACGGACTTTCATGATACCTCGCTGGCCCCTCTCTCTTTTAATGAACCCTGTCAAAAACCAAAAAGGGGAGGAAAGACCTTCAGCAAAATGACCACCACCAACAACACTGCTGCAAGCGCACACGATCTCTAGAATAAAGCGGACGGGAATTGTTTTTAAGAGTTGAAAGCATCAGAGGAATCATTTTGCCTGTAAGGTAGACGCTCCTCTTTGTTTTCAAAATCTACAACGTTTGTTTGGCTGAAAGTGACATGGGGGGGGGATTCTGCATGTTTTTGAAAGGAGCTCTTGCCAACGTTGTTCCTGAGATAATTGGATGACATGCCTCGATGCCGTTTTTATACATTTTTCAACCGTTATATGGCCCTGGTCACACGGGCCGGATAATGTGTGGGGGGGGGAGGCGTGGCTATTTGCGGCACTGCAATTTAATGTGCCAGAACACGATCCCACGCGTCGGTGGCATGCCACGGTTCCTTCCCTCCGCGTCAACGAGGGGCCGGAGGGAAAAGGGGCGCGCCGGTGCGATCACACTGAAGGAGTCCGGAGGCAGCCCGTGGCAAACCGGTTGCTAGTACCTTCAACCAGGTATTTTTTAACTCCACATTTTCGGTGGTACGCCACGGGTTGGCCACGGGTGCACTCCACTTGCCAGATGTTGCGGTGTGATCGCGCCCGGAAACTCCACCATTCACTCGTGGCTGTCCCGCAGCAAATTCGCCATGTGAACGGGGCCTATGAAATGAAAACGTCGATCTCCCGTCTCCCTCACAGAATCACTCCTGATCTATATTACAAAGGAACTGCAAGTTGGCTGCTTATTTTTCCACAGCTGTGACCACCAAAAATTTCATAGCTCAGCATAGATTGGTTACAAAGGGTTTACTCGCTCTATAATTCTCTCCCCCCCCCAAATTAATAGCTTTGGAAGCTCTCTCATTCCATAATAGTTTTAAAACTATTCTAAGTTCCTAGCAGTACTGTAGGCGGCTCTTGATCATTAATTTTTTTTTGTACCTGCTTGGAAGTTCTACCTTTTTAAACACATTTTTAAATAATTGTTCTTATATTTTTAAAACAAATAATTCAGAAGAACAGTCAAAAGATAATTGTTAACTTTCCCCCCCCTTTTTGACAAATGTATAGATCCACCTGAGGAAGCTCAGCGCAAAATGTGCAGGGGTTATTACCATATTGGAAGAACGAAGATTATAAGCCATCATGACGGACAGCTTAGTATCCGCCTCCCCCTAGGGGCAACCAATGAGACCTGACGGAATGTTAGAGAGACAGTTGGAAAACAGCAGTTAAGTTGGCAGTTAGGGGTTGGCTAATGGGGAGAGAGAGGAGAGTGAAGGATCAGAGAGGATCCTGAAACAGGGAAGTGGAATTGGTGTGGTGGTTAAGTGCGTGGACTCTAATCTGGGAGAACCGGGTTTGATTCCCCACTCCTCCACATGCAGCTGCTGGTGTGACCTTGGGTCAGTCACAAGTTCTCTCAGAGCTGTTCTCTCAGGAGCAGTTTGTGTCAGAGCTCTTTCAGCCCCACCTACCTCACAGGGTGTCTGCCGTGGGGAGGGGAAGGGAAAGGAGTTTGCGAGCCGCTCTGAGACTCCTTTGGGTAGTGAAGGGTGAGGTACAAATCCAATTTATTATTGTTGTTGTTGTTGTTATCAGGGCTATTTTGGGGCAGGAACGCACAGGGACGGAGTTCCAGCTGGCTCCCAAGTTGGCCACGCCCAGCAGGAACTCATTAGCATAATAGGCCACACCCAACAGCAGAAACTCATTAGGATTGGCTACATTAGGGGTGTGTGGCCTAATATGCAAAGGAGTTCCTGCTCCAAAAAAAGGCCCTGGGTTTTGACAACAAACAAGGTAAACAGAATAAGAAGCAAAAGGTGGGTGTGGCTGGATGAGCACACTTCTGGTGATGTGGGGGTGCGGCCGAATGTGCCAATGAGCTGTGCTGTCAGGGGTGTGGCCCAATATGCTAATGAGTTCCTGCTGTTGGGTGTGGCCTATTATGCTTATGAGTTCCTGCTGGGCTTTTTCTACAAAAAAAAGCCCTGGTTATTATTATTCCGTGAAGGAAATAGCTCCTAGAAAAGGGGGAGTGTGATCCCTATCAAGGAGGAAAATTGGAACCTGTCTGTGTATTCCTGCCTCTACAGACCTTAGCAATTTTGTGTAAAATAACCATGTGCCAGTTCATCTAAGGGGTGACAGCCAAGCGATCTCTCTTAACAGTTACAAACACCCATCAGTAGAACAAAACAGCTACAGCTGTGAGTCTTACACTGACATTGTGAGCTTAGCGAGAAGTGTGGAGCCACCTACAGATTTCTCCAAAGCGATGTGACATTCTGCTTTCAGCTGAGGAGAAAATACGAACGTGCGTGGCCAGCTCTGACATAACTGTACCTTTCTTGCACATCCGAAGGCACGACTTTCTGGAGGTGAAGTTATTGACGTTCCCGCCACAACCGCTGTAGCTGAATGGATGGCATTTCCCAGTCGTGTGATTATAGAAGAACCTTTTCTCGTTGGCTCTGCAGAAACCTCTATCCATCGGGGTCAAACAAAAAGAAGGCAACAGAGCTGAGCCTAGACACAACAAGAAAATGTTGTTAGACACAGTTCTAGATTATTGAATGCTGCCGTGGATGCACTGTCTGCTAAAAAATATGCAAGTGAAACCATATGCTTAAGCTCCTGTCTAACCACCGGTGTGGAGGCTGGGGATCCAGCACCTACTCAATGCTCCCAGCTCTGTAAGTGCTTCCCCGCTTACTCCAAAGGCGGCAGCTCCATTTGCACAGAGAAAGAATCGCTCTTTCCACAGATGCATTCTGACTCATTTGCCCTGTAATTCGGGCTTAGAGTCTATGGATTGTCATGATCAATTGCACACAGTGGTTATAACACTGTTCTTCTGTAAATAACAATGGGTTGGATCCGGCCAGCTTTATTGCTCAACCTCAGTGAATTCTACTTACTACAGGCAGGCCTGAAGCAACAGTGGGGGCATTTGGGGGCCCTGCCCCCCTAATTAAAAGCCCTGCCCCCCAAAAGCCATGCTAGAAACCTTATTTTTGAAGAGAGACCCCTGCTGCCAGGGTGAGAGCACTGCAGCTTGCCCCGGACTTCCCTCTCCCTCCCACTATGTAATCTGGGGGGGGGGCATCACGGGACATGGGAAAAGACAGTTCAGAGGGTAGTCTACAGCCCTCTCCCACGTGGTTTTTGTCCATGCAGATCCCGTGATCCCGTGATCCACAGCATAACCTTTTCATGTGATCTATGGTACATATTTTCACCACTGGGTCGTATCTTACTGGTTTTTCTCCTCAGCTCACCAAATCCCCTTCTTTACTGCATGCCCCATCCCACATGGTCCCACAATCCCTGGCAGAGTTTTTCCAGTGACCCTTTCTGCTACTTTCACCAGCAGAAAAGCTGGCTGGATACATCCCAATATGGCTCTGTCATGATCTGGGCTGTGCCACCAGAGGCCTAATAGGCCCAGGGAGCCTGCCTAACAGTACGGGAGGCTGGGCCTACAACTCCCAGAAGCCCCTGATAGGTTTTGGAGCCAAAATTGGCCAATAGGAAAAGAGGACGGCTGGGAATAAAAGATCTGGAGCAGCAGGAAAAGCTGTTCTTTTCCCCAGAGGGCAGAGCCAGAAGGAAGGCTGCTGTGAGAAGAAACCCTCATCCTGAGGGAAGGGTGAGTAGTGTAGTGTCACTTGGAATAGTGAGCTACGGACAGTATATATTTAGACGCGTTAGGGCATTTGATTTCTTTTCACCCACTTACTGTTATTATTCTGTACCTTGTTGTTTGACCTCTTATAAAATAAACTATTTTCATTGTTCACTCTGCCTGGTCCTCACGCCTATTATTCGGCCAAAAGGGAGGCCAGAAGGTCTTGGGAGGGTGCTCTGGGCCTTCTCAAGGGAGCCTGGAACCAGAGTGGTGGCAGCGTCAGGTGACACCCCACCTGAGCCGTCACAGGCTCATAGTCAGTATATGCTTAAATGGTGGATTACTAGCGTAACGGTCTGCAACCCACATATCTTTGGGATCGCCTCTCCTGGTATTGTGCTCACTAGATCAAGAGCTGCTGGTGGTCCCCGGCCCAAGAGATATCTAGCTGTCCTCAACCAGAGCCAGGGCGTTTTCTGTCCTGGTTCCAACCTGGTAGAACGCTCTGCCGAATAACATCCATGCTCTGTGGGACCTGTTACAGTTCCGCAGGGCCTGCAAGACAGGGATGTTCCCCCAGGCATTTGGTTGAGGACAGCGGCTGTTTCATCTCTCTGGCACTCCCAGCCCCTGCCTCCCCATGAGGCCAAGGGCTTCATCCGGACAAATGTTAATGCCATCATAGGACACGGTTGCATTTTTATCCGTTTCAATTGGTTTAATGATGTTGTATTTGTTATCTTGTTGTACACCACCCTGAGCTCGGATTTTTCTGGGGCACGTTGGTTTAAAACAGAAATAATAATAATGAGAATAATGACGACGACGACGATGATAAAGTTATATAATTGGAAATGTATGTCGGTTTTGCCTAAACGAGAACGAATGATGTTTGGCAGTTTCCTTCTTGGTCACAATATTGTGACCGTTTTGGTCAAGTCCATATGGAAACGGAAAATTGGCACAGCCACAGAAACTAACAGGCAGTGGGAATAATCACCTAAGCAAAGCAAAAAGTAAAGAAGAGAAGAGATTGGATTTATACCCCGCCCTGCACTACCCAAAGGTGTCTCAGAGTGGCTTACAAACTCCTTTCCCTTCCCCTCCCCACAACAGACACCCTGTGAGGTAAAAGAAGAAGAGATTGGATTTATAACCCGCCCTTCACTACCCAAAGGTGTCTCAGAGCGGCTTACGATCTCCTTCCCCTTCCCCTTCTCACAACAGACACCCTGTGAGGTAAAAGAAGAAGAGATTGGATTTATACCCCGCCCTTCACTACCCAAAGGTGTCTCAGAGCGGCTTACGATCTCCTTCCCCTTCCCCTTCGCACAACAGACACCCTGTGAGATAAAAGAAGAAGAGATTGGATTTATACCCCGCCCTTCACTACCCAAAGGTGTCTCAGAGCGGCTTACAAACACCTTTCCCTTCCCCTTCCCACAACAGACACCCTGTGAAGTAGGTGGGGCTGAGAGAGCTCTTGACAGAAAATGCTCTTTTTTCAAGAACAGCTCTTATCAGAACTATGCCTTGCCCAAGGTCATCCAGCAGGTGCAAGTGGAGGAGTGGGCAATCAAACCTGGTTCTCCCAGATTAGAGTCTGTGCACTTAACCACTACACCAAACCACTACACCATTTGATCATTCCGTTGAGAAGCTTCTTAGAAACTGTATTGGTACAATGGCTAATACGTGGCACAGGACTAGCCCGGAGTTGCATTTAAGACAGCAGATTCTAGTGTTATGAAGAGCTGCCATTTGGAAGACACTCTGGCCGGTCTCGTGATCAACCCTACTTGTTGGCGTCACCCCAGTTGCTGTACTGTATCCGTCTGTCCCCAAGAGAGGACATACTGAAGAAGCATATTTTCGAGGCCAAAGAACCTTGTGTGATTCAAAAGCTGGCACTTTACAGAACGCGAGCAATCACTGTGACGTGAATGGCATGGAAGAAAGAATGCAGTTGAGTCCTCTTGTGTAAAAAAAAAAATCCACCCAGGACAATCCGCTGGAAAAGAAAGGTGAAAAGAAAAGTGCGGTTATATCGATATCGGCATCTCCGAATTGTGAAAAAATGCATGCAAGACAAAACACTCCTTAAACAACAGTTTGGAATCTATGTGATTGGTGAGTTGCTGGAAGTGAATTCTCATAGCAACGGGTTTTAATGTACTCTTTGATTTGATTCGAATACAAACCTATGTAAAACACTTAGACGTGAATTTTAATGCCATGGAATTGCTTTGTCATTTCAGCTACAAAACTCGAAGAGAAGAAGAGACTGGATTTATACCCCGCTCTTCACTTGGGAGTCTCAGAGCAGCTTACAATCTCCTTTCCTTCCCCTCCCCACAACAGACACCTTGTGAGCAGTGTTCCCTCTAAGCTGAGTTGGTGTGAGCTAGCTCACAGTTTTTTAGCCTCTGGCTCAGACATTTTGATCTTAGCTCAGGAAGGACGGCTCCAGAGCAAACAAATTTATGCAGTAGCCAAATTGCTCGCTCACAACTTTAATGCTAGTAGCTCACAAAGTAGAATTTTTGCTCATGAGACTCCACGGCTTAGAGGGAACATTGCCTGTGAGGTAGGTGGGGCTGAGAGAGCTCTTTCGAGGACTGCCCGTGAGAGACCAGCTCTGAATGCACTTGTGACTGACCCAAGGTCACACCAGCAGCTGCATGTGGTGGAGTGGGGAATCAAACCTGGTTCTCCAAGATTAGAGTCCGTGCTCTTAACCACTACACCAAACTGGCTCTGTAGCCTTAACTGCCTTTAATAGCAAGGCAACACGGGTTCAGCAGTCTATACAAACAGGAGTTGATGTCAGATTCCTAACCCATTGGAGGCAACTGATCTATCGGGTCCGGTGCTGCGTGCAGCAGTGATCTACGACAAACACTTCGCATGATAGAACTTCCCTTGGCTTTATCTGGTGGTAGCATTTTGCCTTGGAAAGTGAACGCAGCTCAGGCAAATGAGACATCTGTGCTGGAACATCTGAACCTGAAAAGAGTGAAGAAAACCCCCTAAGGATTATACGTTACATTTCAGACTTCATAAAAATGAGTAGTTAAGTTTTAACACAGCAGTTACCTATCTGTGATGCTCACTTTCCTGGGAAAATGATCCACAGCTGCTTCTTCCAGTGAGATGGAACGACGGGGAGCCATTATACCCAAAGAATCAGGCAGACTAATGGGCTCTCTGGAAACATATCACAGCTGCACAATGAAATCAAGGACTCTAGGCCAACACTGTTCTTGGAGATTTGGAGACCACAGGGAAGGTCTCACCTTTAAGGAAGCCAGCTTGCTTACGTGTGTCACCCCCCCCCCCCCCCACCAGTTGATTTTATTTGATTGTACAGGTTCAGCGCTTTCCACTAACTATATTTCACCGCATTTGTAAAAGAAAACTCCGAAAGCATCGTTTAAAATGGTTTCGTTCGTTTGAGCTGAACTGTGCATGTGCTCAAGCCCCGCAGAAAAACCAGTGGACATTTAGTAAAAAGGTAAAGGTTCCCTTGCTCGAAAGTCAGTCGAACTCTAGGGTTGCGGTGCTCATCTCCGTTTCAAAGCTGAAGAGCCAGCGCTGTCTGAAGACGTTTCCGTGGTCATGTGGCCGGCATGACTAAACACCAAGGTGCACGGAACGCTGTTACCTTCTCGCCGAAGTGGTACCTATTTATCTACTTGCAATTTCTTGCTTTCGAACTGCTAGGTTGGCAGGAGCTGGAACCAGAGACAGGAGCTCACTCCGTCATGCGGCACACTCGGGTCTCGAACTGCTGAACTACCGACCTTCCACAGCCTGCAGTTCAGCATCTTAACCTCTTGAGCCACCGCAGCTCCTTATGGACATTTAGTAGCTGCTTGCTATTTACAGACAGATCTGG